ACTGATGAGCTGTTCCACCCCCAGCTCGGTGCCAGCCGTGGTTTCTCAGAGCCGGTGTCAGTGTGGGCACAGGAGAAGGTGGCTGAGTGCTGCCCGGGCTGGGGGATGCATTTTCCTGCAAGCCCTGCGGGGTTGCTGGGTTAAATGGCTCCAGCTGTGCGGCACAGCTGGGTGACAGCCACAGCTGTGGTGCTGCTTGGGATCCTCCTGGGGATGGGGGCTGAGGAGCACAACTTGTCCAGGCTTGTCCAGCAAACCTGGGACAGGCAGTGGCTGTGCTGCGTCCTTGTCCTCCCAGCTGCAGCTCCAAACCTGGCTCAGGGCAGGGCCCTGCCTGGGTTCTGTGTTTCTCTGGACCCGTTGGGATGTGTGTGCACGGAGGGAGGTGGAGGGGAGAGCTTTGCACAGTGTGTGCTGTATAAACAAATATCTGGGCTCTGGACAAATTTTGTGCATAATTCCTGTGATGTTGTTTGTTATCAGGGAAATGCCTTTTCGTGGCTGGGCTCTGTTCTTCCCCTCCTCTTCCTTGTCCCAGGCCTGGAGGAAGCAATAATCACAATGCTGTGCTTTGCCCTCTTAACTCTTTCTCAGAGGGCTGGGGAATGCCATCGCTGGGAAGGAGCAGCCCCTGGGGGGGGACACAGCTCCTGGCAGGGTCCTGCCCTGGCTGCCAGCAAGAGCAGGGACAGGGCAGGCCAGGAGGGTGGATTTGGGTCCAAAACCCAGAGGGTTCAGTTGTGCTTTAGGAAAAGCTTGTTATTTGTCATCCCTGTGGGGGAACCTCTGGAGAGACCTCGGAGCCGACTCCAGGCTCCTCACTGGTGATTTACAACTTGTTCTTACTGTTGTTGGAGTCAAAATATTAACTAAAAAAGACCAAGAAGAGGCGGTGGGAGCCATCCTCATGGCTCTGTGTTACAGAATTCCAATTATTCACACCAAGCTGGCAGTAACCCCCTTGGGGCCAGGCTCTGTGGGGCTCCTCTGGCTGGGGTGGCCTGGCCAAAGAGGCAGCACTGGGCATCCAGACCTCTGATCCACGCTGGAAACATCCCAGGCCTTGGAGAAGCTTCCATCAGACACTTTGGCTCAGACTTTTTGCCTAATTAAACCCAAACCCTATTAATTATTGTAAGGTCTTCCTCCATAGCTGACAAATGTGTGCTGAGTGTCACTCCTCCGAGGGGATCAATCACTGCAGCAGCTTCAGTGCTTGGAAAGGTTTCACAGGACAATTCCCAAGGTGCCGCAGGAGGGACGAGGCTCCAGCACCTGTGTTCCCGTTTGCTGCAGGGAAATGGCCAAACTCGGGGCTTTTCCCTCATTCCCAGACCCAGAATGGAGCCAGCGGGAGGGGAAAGGCTCAGGCTGAGGCTGTGCCAGAGGGTTTGTCCTGCCTGAGGGTTTGTCATGTGCAGCCTGCCCTCCTGGTGGCCCTTTGGGCAGTGCTGGGGGTGTGTGACAGCCTGGTCACCCTTTGGGCAGTGCTGGGGGGCTGTGACAGCCTGGTGACCCTTGGAGCAGTCCCCTGTCCCCTGTCCCATGGCCCTTTGGGCAGTGCTGGGGGGCTGTGACAGCCTGGTGACCCTTGGAGGGGGTGTCACAGCCTGGTGGCCCTTGGGGGCTGTGACAGCCTGGTGACCCTTTGGGCAGTCCCCTGTCCCCTGTCCCCTCTCCCAGCCATGAATCTTGCGGGGCTGTAAACAGCCAAAAGAGCAGAACCACCCCCAGCTTCCAGAGCAATCCCAGCCCCTCTCCCCCAGCTCTGTCATCCCTCAGGAGGGTCTGTTCAGGGACACAGCCCCCACAAAGCCAGCCTGGGATTTATGGCCCAATCTGCTCCCCCTGCCTGGGGACCCTGGGGGCCTCCGGGTGGGGGGAGGCACGGGGACAGAAAAGGGACAGGCAGGGAAAAGCTTGGGGGCTGGGGGGGTGGGGATGGGGGTGAGTGCAGGTTCTGGGGTCAGTGAGGCACTGGGATGGGGGTGAGGATGGGGGTCCAGAAAAGGGACAGGCAGGGAAAAGCTTGGGGGCTGGGAGGGTGGGGATGGGGGTGAGTGCAGGTTCTGGGGTCAGTGAGGCACTGGGATGGGGGTGAGGATGGGGGTCAGTGCAGGTTCTGGGGTCAGTGAGGCGCTGGGGATGTTTGCTGTGTCCTGGAGGTGCTGGGGCACACCCAGAGGGGTGAAATAGCCCAGGACACAGGAGCTGAGTGTAAATCACTGCTCACCAGAGCAACCCCACCCCCAAAGAAAAGCCCCCTCACCACCAGGCAAACACAGCTGCCACTCTGGTGACATCAGAATTGTGCCTTTGAGTCGTCATTTGCCATAGGAGATTCTCTTGTTGTTTTGGCTTTAATTTTCTTTTTTTTTTTTTTTTTGGGTCTGCACAAAATGCCACTAATGACAAACTGTGGTGCCCGTGAGTGAGTGACAGCTGAAATGAGAGAAATGACTAATGGTGCCTCCTGAAGCCCTGTCGCATGGAGATTAAATGAGCCCTTTTTTCTTCCCCCCTCAATGAGAATCATGGGCATTTGAATAATAATATTATAGTCTCCATTAGGATGACAGTGGGGGAAAAAATCGGCTCAGACCTGTGATTATTCCTTCAATCTAATAATTATTTAAATACCAGATAACTCCTTTCAGCCTAATTGAGGCCTTTCAGCTGCTTGGGTTTATATTGTGTCCCTGAATTTACTCTCGCTTTCACCTTGCGTTACTAATAGCTGCAGATTGCTTCTGAGGCTGTATTTTAAAACTCTCTTCAGAAAAAAAAAAAAAGAAAGAGAGGGAAAATTAATGATCAAATGGTATTAAGGATCAGAGTTAAAATCACCCATTCTGCTGGTGTTTAACTCCCCAGGTGTTTGGCCTCCTCCACAGGGATGGTTTGGGTTGGAAGGGACATTAAAGCTCTTCCAGTGCCACCCCCTGCCGTGGGCAGGGACAGCCTCCACCATCCCATGTCGCTGCAAACCCCGTCCAGCCTGGCCTTGGACACTGCAGGGATGTGGCAGCCACAGCTGCCAACCTCTCCCTGCTCTTTGAGCCAAGAATTCCTCCCCAAAATCCCTCACAGGGATTTGCTGTCTGCAGTGCTGAGCTCTGCTCAAGCCCGCACCCTCACCTTGTCCCCCAGCCCTGGGGACAGGAGCTGCCCCAGGGTGACAGGGACAAGAGAGGGCTGGGTAGGATGGCAGCCCATGCAGGTCTGTCATGTTCAGATCGTGTTTGGGAGGCAGATTCTCCTTCCTGGATGGTCTCTGTTGCCGTTGGCAGTGGCTGTTTGTGAGTACCTGAGAGGTACAGCAGCCAGGCTGCTCACAGCTCTGCTGCCCCTCGTGCTGGGCTAGGGCTGGAAACTGCTGAGAAACACCCAAAACTGCTGTGGAACCACACACCCACGTGTGTAAAGTTCAATTATTTAAATCCATTCATTTCTAGCCTGCACTGTCCTTGTCTCGCTTTGCAACGGAACAACTTTTTAAGAACTGGAAGCTGCTGAGCAGGAAAATTGTGTGTGCAGGGCTCTCCAGCAGGGCTCTGTGTGTTTTGGGGCTCCCTTTGAACCTGAGGAGCATGTCCCAGGACTTGGGGCACTGAGGGGGTGCAGGTAAAGCTGCTGTGATCAGGTGTCAGTGCCCAAATTGTCACCAGCACGGAAAGGACACTCCCAGATCCCAGGGAGCCGTCTGGAAAGACCCTGGCTCAGGGAATGGCGTGGGGTGCTCGCTCAGAAATGTGGGGAGAGCTGGTGCTGCCGTGGCTGTGGGAGGGCAGCAGGAGCAGCTTCCCTGTGCCCAGCACACCCCGAGGGTGCCAGGGGCCGTGTCCGTCCCAGGACGGACAAACTGCCACAGCCAAGGTGGGAGTGCCGAGCCTGGCAGCGAGAGGGAAGCAGCTGGGGAAGTGTCTGCCTGAGCAGAATGACAAAGCCACCCGGGCTGCCTCTCCTGTCTCCTGTCAGAGGCAGCGCAGGGACAGAGCTCCTTTGTCACCTCTCAGGAACAGCTCCCGGCTAGAGAGCGGCTGCTCGGTGACACCCGCAGCCCAGGGCGCCTCTGCAGCGCTGCAATTGTTGTAAATTTAAATAAACCAAAGCAGCAGCAGCAGGGGCTCGGAGCTGCAGAGGGCAGGGCTCCCATGGGGTGTGTGGGACACGGTGGGTGCAGAGTGGGGCCTCATCCTCAGCCTCCTCCCAGGGCTGGGGTGACCCCGAGGTGAGGGAGGATGCTCTGAAGTGGTTCCTTTGCCTTTCCTGGAGCACGTAAGGAATGCAGAATTTGGGATAAAGGAGAACTTTGTGGTGGTTTCGTCAGACACCTCCGTGGTCAGGTCAAGCAAGCTGCTCTAGCCTGGTGGTCTCTCCCCTGCTGCAGGGTTTGGTGGCTGCTCTCACCCTGTGCTCCCACCTTGGTGGCAGCTGCTTTTTGGCAGGAAAAAAGGAGCTCCTGCCTAAAAAGCACCTGCTTGAGAGGCACTTCTGGCTCTGGGGAGGGTCTGAGGGGAGATGTCAGCGCCTTCAGTGTGTGTGCTCAATGAACTTGCCTGCATGAAGCTTCTTCCTCAGGTTCCCAAATTAAATCAGAGAGGCTTTAAAGGTAAAGAACAGCTCTTATTTCCTCTGCTGCTTCCAGCAACACACCCTGCAGGAGACATCCTTTCAGCCAAGATTGCAGATGGGTGGTTGGGGCTGAGAGCCACAGGCTTTGTCTTGGGCTGGAGCTGATTCTCCCCTCCCCGTCTGAGCAGAGCATGTTCTAAACAGCCAAACCCCACCACAAATTAAGATGCAGGGGCTGAAACAAGTGGCAAAGCACCAAGCCTGAACTGCTCTCCACTAAGTTGTGGACTCGCTTAATTCTCGTTGTGCTTAGAGACATCCTCCCTTTATCTCAAGGACTGTGTAATTAGAAAGCCTCCTTTGAATTTTATCTGCAGGGCACACGGGATCTAATCCTTCGCTCTGGGTGGTTCTTCTCTCCACAGAACCATGTGAGGGACATTGCCGGGGCTCAGGACACGCGCGGGGGACACGGAGCTTGCCTTTCCCAGGATGGATCAGAGGAGGAGCTGGCCTCGGGTACTGGACTCTGATGGCTGCTCAGTGGCTCTGCTCTGCCTCTTCCTGGCATCGCTCTCCCGGAACGTGTCCAGCAATGCCTTGTTCAACACTTTCCACTCGGAGAACCGGGACTGGACGTTCAACCACCTGACGGTGCACCGGGGCACGGGCGCCGTCTACGTGGGGGCCATCAACAGGGTGTACAAGCTTTCGGGGAACCTGACCATTCTGGTGGCTCACAAAACCGGCCCCGAGGAGGACAACAAATCCTGCTACCCTCCCCTCATCGTGCAGCCCTGCAGCGAGGTCCTGACGCTCACCAACAACGTCAACAAGCTGCTCATCATCGACTACTCCGAGAACCGGCTGCTGGCCTGCGGCAGCCTCTACCAGGGCGTCTGCAAGCTGCTGCGCCTCGACGACCTCTTCATCCTGGTGGAGCCCTCGCACAAGAAGGAGCATTACCTCTCCAGCGTCAACAAAACGGGCACCATGTACGGGGTGATCGTGCGCTCCGAGGGCGAGGACGGGAAGCTCTTCATCGGCACGGCGGTGGATGGCAAGCAGGATTACTTCCCCACCCTGTCCAGCCGCAAGCTGCCCCGCGACCCGGAGTCGTCGGCGATGCTGGATTACGAGCTCCACAGTGACTTTGTCTCGTCCCTCATCAAAATCCCCTCGGACACGCTGGCCCTGGTTTCGCACTTTGACATTTTTTACATCTACGGCTTCGCCAGCGGTAACTTCGTCTATTTTCTGACGGTGCAGCCCGAGACACCCGAGGGCGTCTCCATCAACTCCGCCAGTGACCTCTTCTACACCTCGCGCATCGTCCGCCTGTGCAAGGACGACCCCAAGTTCCACTCGTACGTGTCCCTGCCCTTCGGCTGCGTCAAGGGCGACACGGAGTACCGGCTGCTGCAGGCTGCCTACCTGTCCAAGCCGGGCCAGGTGCTGGCCAGGGCCCTCAACATCACGGCAGAGGAGGACGTGCTCTTTGCCATCTTCTCCAAGGGGCAGAAGCAGTACCACCACCCGCCCGACGACTCCGCGCTCTGCGCCTTCCCCATCCGCACCGTCAACGCCCACATCAAGGAGCGCCTGCAGTCCTGCTACCAGGGCGAGGGCAACCTGGAGCTCAACTGGCTGCTGGGCAAGGATGTGCAGTGCACCAAAGCGGTAAGGGTGCGCTGGGTGTTGGCTGTGGGAGCCCTCCAGAGCCGGGTTCAGTCCCTGCCCCCATGGAACACAGGTTTGCAGAGTAGGATCGGTCTGTACCTCGCTTTCCCTAAATTCAGAGCACTCTTCCCCTTTAATCCATCCTGTCACCCTACAGTGTGATGACAATGAGGGAAGGGATGGTGTTAAAGCAGGATAAAGGTGTGCAGCTTCCTGGGAGTCTTTATCACTCCCAGCCTGGGCTCTGGAAGCTGCAGGAGCCCTGGGGAAGGTGGCTGGAGCTGGCAGGGGGTGGCACGTTGGTGGCCCCCACTCTGCTGCCAGCACCGTCAGCTCCCTCCACACCACCCAAGTGTGCGGGACCACTCTGGGCTCTGCGTCACTCACAGCTGCCCCAAACCTTGTCTTTCCAGCCAGTCCCCATCGATGACAACTTCTGTGGGCTGGACATCAACCAGCCCCTGGGGGGCTCGGTGCCCGTGGAGGGGGTGACGCTCTTCACCTCCAGCCGCGACCGCATGACCTCCGTGGCCTCCTACGTCTACAACGGCTACAGCGTGGTCTTCGTGGGCACCAAGACGGGCAGGCTGAAGAAGGTAAGGCCTGTCCATGGCTGTGGAGAGCCGGGAGCTGGGTTTGTCTCTCTCGGAGCGCTCTGATGTGCCTCACTGCCGCTGCATCTTACGGGTGTTCCCCAGCGGGAAACTGGGAGTGAAGCAGGAGTGGGAATGGCAGGTTTGGGTCACAGCCTGCTGTTGGAGAGGCAGAGCTCAGCTCTCAGTGTTGTTGGTGTGGTTTGTTGTTGGAGTTTTTGGGGAAGGTGAAGTTGAAGCTGCTGCAGGACGGTCCTGGGAAAGGAACCAAAGGAGGTTGGATGGAAATCTTGCAATAGTTTTGTTTCCCAGCAATCCTTCTGCAACTGGTTTAGAAGAGTGTGAGTTACAAAGCCTTTGGAGCTGCTGGTACCGGCAGGATTTTGGTCATGGAGAGACAGGAATGGGTTAATGTGGCTGCTTTTGGAAGCAAGCCTCAGGGCAGAGTCCTGCTGCCTGCCTGTGCCTCTTCCCTCCTGCTGGATGATTGATCAGCCCTGGAACTTTCCTTGTCCTCCATCACAAACTCTGAGGGGGGGTTGGTGGGGCTCACCTGAGAGTCACAGAACGTTTCTGGGTTGGAAGGGACCTGGGCAAGGACACCTTCCTCTAGCCCAGGTTGCTTCAAGCCCTGTCCAACCTGACCTTGAGTGACTTTTAGGCCTTTGAAGTCCAGCTGGGATTTTGCCACTTCTGAGTTACAAAATCACAGAATATTCTGAGTTGGAAGGAAACTCTGAGGACTTCTGCATTTAGAACAAGTCTGGAAGTGGCCTTGGGGTGTAAACAGAGGTGTGTGAGAGCCCTTGCTGGCCTTTGGAGCTGCAGCTGCAGCTGGAAGCCAGCTCAGCAGAGGGTCTGATCCAGCTCCAGCAAAAACAGCCTTGGAGCTGCTGCTCTGGCAAGCTGAGACCCTTCCAATTAACCTCAGCTCTAAATGACAGCATTAGGTGAACCTGCTAAACGCAGCCCCTGCTCCTTCATGCCAGGGAAAGAGTTAACAAATGTAATCAACAGCAGGCTGTTAATTTTTTGAGTCCTTAAGCAGCAGGGAATTTCTTCCTCATCTATCCAGGAAGATACAAGGACAGGCAGATACTACACTTGAATGTCTGCATCATTTTAATTACATCAGTTCATTAATATTCATCCAGCACTTTACAAGTGCTGAGTAGTAGTAAATTAGGTGCCTCCCTGGTGCCTCTCGAGTGTCAGTGGGGCAATTTTGAACGTGGGGGAGAGGGAGCTTGTAAAGCAGAGCCCTCCTCTTCCCTGCTTCCTCTGCCGTGGCTCAGAGGAGAGCCGGGGTTTTTTTAGCTAAATGGAAGAAGAGAAACCCTCAGCACATCCCAAAGGCTTGTGCCAAGCCCGGAGCTGGGGATGCAGCCCGGTGCTCGCTGTGGGCAGGGTCTGGGGACAGGGGAGGCTCCTCTTCCAGAGGCAGCAGCAGCCAAGAGCCCGTGCCTGCACACGAGGTATTTACGGGCTTGTTCCATGAATTATGGAGGATTACAGAAGCAGCAGTCTCTCCAGCAGGGTTTAATTCCTGGTGCTAGTCTACACTGAACGCTTTCTGATGCAAAGTTAATCTATTCATGCTCCTCCGTCCAGAGGGAGGGCTGTGCAATCCTTCACCTGCAATCCTTCATCTGTTGGATGAAAATTGGCCCATCTCTGAAGCAAATTCATCCCAGACATTCACTACAGTCAGATTTTCATGGCATCTGCCCTTATTTAACAGCAGAGCTGCCTGCAGCTGGGGGGATCCATGTCCCCTGTAATTAACTGGAACAATCCTGGTCCCGTCCTCCCCTCTGTGGGGCTGGGGATGCTGTTCCCTCTCTCCCAGCTCTGTCTACACCTTTAGCAGATTTTCCCTCCTTTGACACAGTGAGATTGTCTTTTCCATGGCCCGAGGGAGCCCAGGTGAGGTGTAGGAAGCAGCTCTGCACCGAGCTGAGGGGCTCTGGCTGCAGAGGAGGGAAGTTAACAGGTTGTCTCTGGATTTTGTGCCTGCTCCAAGATAACCAGACGTCTGGAGTGCTCAGGATGCTCAGGACTCTCCTTATCTCTCCTTGCCCATCTGTGAAATGATGGTGGAAACGTTCAGCAGCTCTGTGAGTGCCAGGGCTTTGTGCAGACGCCTTTTCCACCTGGTCTCCTCCTTGTCCTCCTCAGATCTACCCACACAATTAATGTCTGAAAGCTTTGTCACACCTATTCCCTCGCCCACAGCTGTTGATTTCCTTTGGAAACAAGCTGCTGGCTCCGTCTGGGCTTTCAGGAAAAGCATTTTTGTAGCTGGAGGAAAGTCAGGGAGATGGCTCCGAAATATTTCAAATTTGCCTGTGCTCCCCCAGTGAGGATTCCTTACTGGAAACACTGGGATATCCCTCTGGTGTCCTCCTGCCTTCAGCTCTTCACCTCACTGCTCCTGCCACATTCCCAGCTCCTGCTGGTTCTGCTGCCCAGGAATTGTCTCCGAGAGGGTGAAAAGCAAATGCTGCTGATGCTGGGGCCCTTTGGCCCAGGCACAGGTAGAGGGATGAAATTCTCCCTCCTGCTCCCTTCCAAAGCACCTCAGCCTCCTGCCTGTGGCAGGAAGGGGAAAGGGGCCCATGCTGGAGACACAACCATCCAGAATCGGGGATTCCTCCAACAAAACCATTTCCATCAAGCAAAACGAGAAGGGACATTAATGCAACAGTTAAGAGCAACTAAGTGCTGGGGGGAGATGTGTCAGCTTGCTTGTTCTGTTTATGGGCTTCATGGAATTCTATCAATATTGATGTGTGATGCCTTTGATTTTGACACTAATCATTGCCATGAATTAAATTTGCAGCCATATAATTAGAACTGCTATTAATAGGGCCTCAAGCTAAGCACTGCTGTGCTAGTTGGCTTTTTCCTGATGGAAAACGGCATCCATGGAACTCGGCTCATGTGGTGAGCCTGATGTGGAAATTGCACTGGCTGTGCTTAGAGGGGCTCCTCTGGGAGGCAGGTTCATGGGGAGGGTCTGGCTCTGAGGTTTCCCAGGAAATCCTACTAGATCTTCCCTTAAACTTCCCAGTGGTTTGCTGCTCTTGGGATGCTCAGCCTCAGTGGGAGAGAGGAGGATTGCAGGGAGAAAAGAGCAGCGTGCAGGGCTGTTATTGCTGTGCTTCCATTCCATCTCCCTTCCCCGTGGCAATCCTCCCGTTTGTTGCCCTGGCCCAGCAGAGCTGTGGCAGCCCCGTGTCCCTCCCTGTGCACGCCTGGTTCCATCTCATCAGCCTGAGCTCAGTGCCTGGGATGGCAGCAAGGCTCACCACTAAAAATCAATCTTGTATTTCATCCCGAGAGGTCTGTTTCTTATTAGGTCTAATAAATCAGTGAAGTGCCCTTCATTCAGCTTGTCAATGCAGGACATTGTTTGTGATCAAGAATAAATAAATGTCTCTGCTCTGTCTGCCAGTCGCCATCTAGGTATTATTTTTCCATCACGCTGTTTATGCTGGCTGTAGGAAAAATGCAGTTCCTGCATCCTTGCCTGCCTTCCCACGGGCTGGGAGTGCTCCTGGGTGGTAGAGGCGAGGGAAAAGCTGGAACAGTGACGTTGTACCTGGGCTTCACCCAGTGCTGAGTTGCTCAGTGCTGATAAGGTTTTAATTTGTGTGCTTGGAGATGTGGAGGTGTTGCAGTGCTGCAGGCAAGGGCCCAGGTGTGGTTATTTCAGGTGCCCTGAGGTGAAGGAAAAAGCGTGTGAATGACATCACCCCCAGTTCTCCTGGAAAAGGGGAGTCACTGCTGTCCTGGCCGTGTGTGACACTGTCCCAGGGGCAGCTGGACGTGGCTGGAATCCATCCCGGGTGTGACAGAGCTGCTCAGTCTGCCTGCAGGAGTGCCACAGAGAAATGCACCGTGCTGGGACTCTGTTCGTGCTGGGAACACCCTCCTGTCACCTGCAGAATTCCTGAACTCTGTCCTTGCTCCTCCACTGCTCCAAGGGACAGCCACGAGCGACTGGGTTGCGCCGCCAGAGGAACGCAGAACTTTTAAGTGCCTTGTTACATCTTGGGACGTGAGAGTTTTATTCAGCTTGGCTGATTTCATTTGTTCCATTAGTGGGAATAAAGCAGCTCTTTCACAATGAAATATATATGTCCGGACCTGTCCTGAGATGACTTCATTTTATGGGTGCTTATCTCATCCCGGTGATTTATCCTTCGTTATCACCCCCAACACTTCAGGAAAAACTCGGTTGCATCAGCCTGTGGAGAAGCCAAGAGGACAGCAGGCTGTTATTGAGCAGATGAAAATCATCCATTTGCAGGCGCCTTCCTGAGGATTTGTCTGGTTTTAGCTGCAGGTTGGGAGGTCAGGGGCTCTGCTGGCTCCGTGCTCAATCCATCACCCTCGGAGCGCAGATCCCAGCAGAGGTGGGAGAGGGCAGATGGTTCTTGTTTGGCTGAAAAAGTTGTTTAATTGAAAGGTCTGAGAAAAAAAAGGCTGATTTTTGCCCAGTGATGTGAAATAAGGGGGTGTTTGTTCAGTACTGTACTTGCTGCTGTGGTTGGAGGAGCTGGGATTTATTTTCCCCCTAAACAAGGATTTTCCATTCTCAGAAAGTAATTCCCCTTTGCTTCATCTGTGCTGAAAAGGGTCCCCAGAATGCCCCAAAGCCCCTCACATTTATTATTTTTCATAGCCAGAAGTTGGAATCTTATTAATTGGGATTTATGCAAGGGAATAGGAAAAGTGCTGGGAGCCAGAGGAGAGCACTGGGGGCGTTTGGGGCTGGAGATGGGGCAGAGCTGCCAGGTCCCTCCTGACTGTGGCTCTGAGCACTCAGGAATGTCCCTGCCACCTCTTCATGGCATGAACTGGCCTCTCTTCTCCCAGCATCCCTTCCCTGGTCTGGGATCTGGCGCCTGCCAGAGCCACTCGCGTCAGAAGAAAGCCAGGAGTTGGCAGATATTTTTATGGCTGCTGGAGAGGGAAGGGACAGGTGTTCAGGAAGT